CCAGGGATTCAAGACCGTCTTGGAGTTAGTTACGGGCTACCAGCAGCTCTGCGTCTACTGGACGGAGTATTACGACTTTGAAAACCCCATTATTAGAGACTACCTGAATGGGCAGCTCCGGAAACGCAGGTACCCGCCCCACGGCCCAGCTCCACGCACAAGGGAACACCCCCTTCAACCCACCCCCGCTCTGCCGGTACAGCAGCAGCACCTGGAGTATGGGGAGGGCGCCCACACCCCACACTTACTGAGCATCTCCTACTGCCCGTCACTGCTCTGGCCGCTAGGGGGCAGGCGTCTGCTCATCCTTGGACACATGGGTAACTGAGGTTCTGAGCTCATCCTGAACCTGAACAGGAAATGGGCAGGAGTCTGTTCAAACAGGACAGAAAGTGAGTGAAATAGCTGGCACGGGAACAGCAGCAGCTATCGCGACAGCTCTTGCCAGGGAATGAAAAAACGCAGCAGCTGACATTACCATTCGTTTAAGCCACGAGCACGTTGTTAGCCTCTGTTTTGCTGCAGCCACTGTGCTGAGCATTTCACGAGTCTCCGTTGGTTCATGTTTGCACATCTGAGACAGGTGTATTTGATGTCCACCTCTCCCCATTTCACAGATGAGGACACTGAGGCTTCAAGAGGGCAATGACCTGCCCAAGGGCACACTGCTGACAAAGGGCAAGGGAGGGGCTGGGAGCCGGGTTCATGTTGAAGGCCCCTCTGCTCACGCCCTCTGCTCGCTATGGGGCAGAACTTAGGAATACACCTGGGTGCAGGACCCTGCTGGTGCCCCTGTCCTCACCTACCCCAGGCTGCTGCCAGCTCTCCCAGGACAGAGCCCGGCTCCTCACTGGCCCTCTCTGACGATTGGTTGCTCCTCAGGCCTGTGATTCTGGACCCAGCAGACCCTACGGGAAACTTGGGTGGTAAAGACCCAGAGCGCTGGAGGCGGCTGGCACAAGAGGCTGAAGCCTGGCTGAGATACCCCTGCTTCAAGTGCCAGGACGGGTCCTCTGTGAGCTCCTGGGATCTGCCAACACTGGACAAAACAGGAATGTGCAGGCCTTGGAAGGTGATTGAATCGTGGGGGCCTTAGGCGGACTTGCTGTTACGAGGTGGGGTCTGGTTACAGGCACGTCATGGGGGCGTGGCCTGGTAGGGTCCGCCTCCCTTCCCCGGCTCCTCCCTCTCCCGACCACGCCACAGGAGCAGCTTTTCTCCTCCGCAGGCTCTGGCACCGCACTTTTCTGCATTTGAGCCTGCCGGCCATGGACTAAGACCTCTGAAACCGTCAGCCACACTGACCTCCTCCTTTAAGGCATGAGTGTCGGATGTGGTGTCTGAATGTCAAAGAAAGTGCCTAAGACAGCTCTGAGACCCACGGTCCTCCCTCACACACACGGCTCCAGATGTCCCCGTGGAGCCGGAGACCACGCTTCCCTAAGACACGACCTCCTGCTCACAGTCACCCACAGTAGTAGGCTTGCAGG